TTTTAAACAGCTCAGATGAAACTACCGACTCTGAGGTTGTCGCAGGAACCAAAGCAGGTCTGGTACGTGTTTGATCATCTTCTCTTGGCGATAGGTGCATATTCCACATGATCCTCCTCTTTAACATCCTGTAAAAAACACAAGATAGCAATTTCAATTAAATAATGAAGCATTCATTCAATCTTATGTATGTCCGTGACATAATTTTTGTTTGTTACTAAAAGCATTGTAAGAGTCACAAAAGCATGTACAGTATGTGAAACTCTGAAGATTTGGACTTTTGATGTCATAGGAAATACTTCATGAGTGAGCACTGGAAATATGAACTAATGCAGATCTGTTACGCTTTAGGTACACGGTAGAAGGGTTGTGAGTATTAGGACATATGAGTCACTGTTTCACTCGCTGAATACTGATCTTGTGACTTTTAAACATATTTAATATGGTGCTGTTTCGCGCTTTTGTTTCTGTCACACAAAAGCGCACACACTGTTGAAATGATACACAGATACCCAACATAAATTAGTAATGAACTACCTTACCAGTTTCTGTGGTTTTCTTTTGTAGAACGTAGGCTCAATGTAAGTGATCTCGTCTTCATTAGTCTCAACTGTTTCAACAATAATATTAATTGATTAAAACAATATAGCATTTCTGTGTGTTTTATTGAAGCATCTGTAAGAAGATGATTAAATAGTGCTGCCCGTTGTCACTATATATATATATAAAATCATAATTGCTATTGAAAGTACTTTAACCTCATTGATCTGAGTTTATGCGCCTCAGTTTTTAGGTGAAGAAAAGTGTTATTTTTGAATAATTTTGGCAATGTTCACTTAAAACCAGGTCCATAAGCTCAGCTCAATAAGGCCTATGATCAATCAGTTCCAAAAAGAAACATAAAACCTGTGATAACTGGAAAAAAAAAAAGTTGATAAAAATATTGAATCCAATATTTGGTAATAATATAGCAAAACTAAAAATTTATAACACAGTTTTTTGTAGGCTGGTCTTTTTTTTTTTTTAGACTGGGGAAGTTCAGTATGTTTTAGTCCAATGTGAGAACTTGAATTAGCATTTTCATGAAAAAGAAATCCTCTCTGGGTCAAAATTGCCGCAACACAACTTGAGGGTTAAAAGGAACTAAACTATTATTTGTTATAACACTTAATAATTTAACAAATTTATTAGCTATTAATAGATTTAACACTTGCCTTCTTTATCAGTTTTTTTACATTTCCTGCAAATACAAGAGATCCCGACTGCAGCAACAATCAGCAGAGATCCAGCAGCAGCAGCAGCAGCAGAGATCGGCACTCTTTTAGATGCTGAGTCTTTAACAATACAGAGAGACAGTCATTAGTGTGTTCGACTGATAAGTGAACATCAGAGTTAGTAGTATTTTGCTGCCTTACATTTAAATTAATTTTTAAAGTTTTTAGTTTATTCCAATTTCTACTGTGGCTTACAGTAAAATTACATTGAATGTGTTTTAATTTCAAGCTGAAAGGCAGCACAGGGTGGTGATGTTCTATAGCTAGGCTTATAAATATGCACATATGTACATAATTCATCCAAATGATAGAGATGTTTGTTGAATTTAAAAAAGAGAAGAAAAAAAAAGAAGGAACATAGGTCAAGAACTGTCAAGAAATGTTGAACATGTCTTTTATCAATGAAACCAGCTCCAGTCATTATAATCAACTAAAAACATAAACATACACATAGTAAATAAACACATCAGCGCTGCTGTACCTGAACATGTGTGACAGAGTTCAGTGATGTTCAGATGTGTGGTCTGGTTGCTGATGGGATTGTTGAGCACACAGCTGTAGGTGTTTTTCTCCTGATATTCCACCTCCAGAGGTAGAGAGAGACTGATGCTGAGATCAGACACACTGATGCTGGACAATAAACTGTTTCCTTTGTACCAGGAGAGAGTCACATGACTCACATTCACCACTGAACACACCAATGAACAATATGATGATGATGAACAGTTTGTAGAGTTACTGCTGATGACAGGAATGGGCAGATGAGCTGAGAAATATTAAAAACAGAGTAACTCATGCTGTTTCTTGTGGTGTGAGATTCTGTGATGCTATTCAGTGAGTGTTTGTGATTTTTTTTTATTACATGGTCTGAAGTAAAAATGAATGTGTATCTTAAATGTTATCATTTTTAAGACTGAAAAGGCTGTATATACTGATATTTAACTCACCATAGATGGAGAGACTGAAACTCTTGCTCACACTGTTGGTCTGTAGTTTATAGAGTCCACCATGTTCAGTTCTGGTGTCTCTGATGGTCAGAGATCCAGTTTGATTGTCCAGCTTCAGTCTGTCTCTGAATCTCTCATCAAGAACATCATCATATACAGTCATGCTGCCGGCCATTACATTGATTTCAGCTATTAAAGTGTTTTCAGATCCAAACCTCCACAGAATCAGATCATCATCCATCATTTCAGTGAAACCAGAGTCTAGAGTGACTGAATCTCCCTCCAGCACTGACACTGACTCCACTGCAGAAACACCAAATTTACCTGAAGAAAAAAGGAAGATTTGTCAGAGATTAAAAGGTAAACAAATTTGTGGCGGTTAAGTAGTTTGTATATTTACATAAAAGCACGTATCCTTTGCAATAAGAGATTCTGATTCCACACAAATACTCAACAATAAAACAATTTATGGGCAAAGAAAGTTACTTTGAGAATGTAAAACTCTCATTACTTTACATATTTAATGGGATATTCACATGAATCCATTTTTATGGAGTTGGTGAGCTCATATGAACAAGCTAACTAAACTTGTCCTTAATTTGATTTCCTGTGATGATAGACCTAAATCCAACAATATCCCTGTTCGATTTTAGAATATCTTTTTTAATGGATAGCAAATGCAAATATATCGTATTGTAGTATAAAGAAAAGCTTGAACTATAAATCAGCAATAACATTCAATTAAAAAGCATAAAACATACATTTCCAACTTACCATCCAGTTGCAACAAGCACAAGCAGAACAAAAGGACAACATGAACCATTTTCTTTGAGCATGCCAACATTATAATGAAAATCTCTAGAAGCAGGCTGTTTAGACAGAAGTGTGATATAAGTGTGTGTGTGTGTGGATCCTCCCCCAACAGGGTTCGACCACCCTTCACTGACCACACACTAGGGTTTCACTTAAATTACAGCTAATATAGCATTTATTAAGACTCACTGCATAGTGGCATAAAACATTCTCCAACACAGGCAGATGTTAAATAATTATTGCAGTTTATTATTTCAGCCTGTCATTATTTTTTTGGAGCCAGTGTCTCTCTGCGTGTATACCTATATATTACACAGACCAGAACAAGAAGCATTAGTGTCATGGAATACATGTATAACTTCACTTATAATGCTCAGCCTGTGTGGAATAGTCTATGTTAGTGTCTATGGGTGATAAGTAAGAATAATATTGTGTACCTTTAACTCTTTTTGGACTATTTCTCAAACATCAGTAAAGCGTTTTTTTTGTTTTTGTAAAAAGGAAGTCAGATTGTGAGGTTCCTATTTAAAAGAAAGGAAATGAAGATACCTTTTACCCACAAACTACTGACACACGCATAAACTCGCATCCAATAATACGCACAGGTTTTCCAGCCATCTGGTCAAACTACATTTCTCTGTAAATAAATGCGACCACAGAATGTTTCACTTTGACAAACAGAGCTGCTGGTGTGGCATCAGGTGATTCGCGTTCTCTCTTCGCTAGAAAAAAAAATGCGCTGTTTTTTTTTTCTTGGCCTGTTTCATTTGAGTGTGGTTATAAACAAAAATCTTGTCTGTGTTCGAATGCAACCACAGTGGTGGGCTGAAAATGTTGCTTATTTTATAATTCTTATGTTTTCAGGATTTTACACATTCGGACCTATTTACAAATCAGTTGTGAACATGTTTTAATTTTCTCATGAAGCTGCACTGATATGCTATATAGCAACTACATAAAAAAATATATACTAATTGAAAATGTGCAACTTGCTTGTGTTAAAAGTTGCTTCGGACAAATTACGCACGTGCGTAAATGCATCACCCACATTCACAGGATAAAGTTAGGCTACTCCATGAATTGCATAGTGATCCAGTCCATTACAACAGTTTCTTGCACAGCTCATGGTTTTCTTTTGGCGAGCTTCCCGTGAATCAGACAGCACTTCCGTTGTTATGTTTTAAATCCCCTTTACTACTTCTGGCAGCATTCACACTGACCAGTTTGAACGAAACGAAACGAAACGAAACGAATTCGAAACGTAACTTTGACATTGATCACGTGATTTTTGAGAAACGATGCAATACGAAACTTAAATTGCGCTGCATACTCAATATACGCACTTTTCTCTTTGTTTCATACGTAACATCACTAAAAAATGGTCTTCACTGGTTTAGGCTGGTCTCCCTGATTAACTAGATGAACTCCTTTAAAGCAGCAAACAGACCCCTTTGCTGCACACTAGCTAAATCCAGCAAACAAGCTGAGGCTGGTTTAAGATGTTTTTCAGCAGGGCTAGCAAGTCCAAAATATTCACTTAGAATTATGACAAAATTGCATTGTGGATATCATACTTCATGTTATAATTTTTTTTGTAGCTTAATTGTTATGAGTTGACATTATACAACGCTTTGCCCCGCCTTCGGAAATAAAAGCACACACACACACCTAGGTTATATCACAGTCATGTAACCACCAGGAACATCGCAACCAATACGTAATACATGTCCTTTATTGTTCCTTCTCCTTTTTCTTTACTTGTTTTTTTTTTCTATCTTTACACTTAATTACAAAAACAAGTTAAAAGCAACTAGCCTACTTTCTAATCGTTGAAAAGAAGGACATCACGGTTAGAAAAGTAGGCTAGTACAATTGTCTTAATTCAATTTATTTGATTGACTTGCTGAAGAAGAAAACAATGGAAGTCTTGGTCTTGCTCACTCTGTTTGTTCTTGTCGCTGAAGGTAAGTTTAGCCTAGTCTATACTTGAATTTTCAACCTTTTCTGTTTTGCACGATCGGTTTCATTTCTCATCAACTCGGTCTTTCTCTTAACCCTTTGTCTTCTGTTTTTCTCGTCGCTGTTTTGAATAATTTCGTGTAATTTAGGCAAATTAAGTAACATGATTTTCAGTCTTGAAAAAAAAAATAGATGACTAAATTGTAAAACTTTTTTTTTTTTTGGCTTTGGCTTTGGTTCTATTTAACGTATACATCTTTCTTTATGTTTTAGTCATTCACTTTAAAAAAATAAATACATTACAAAATGTAGCTGATGGTGCATTATAATTTTGCATTTGACATAGGCCTATCTGTGTCATATCAAATAAAACTGAGAATGTTTTAAAATAAACAGTAGTTTGTTTATTTATTTATTTTTATGTGCATCAAGAGATCATGTAATGTATTTTAGTCCATCACAGTTTGAGTGTCTGAGGCTGTAAAAAAATATTTTCCACCTTCACCTTCAAATCTTCTATCTGTGACATTTAGTTTAGTTTCTGTTTCCATTGCCATGGAGTTTCCATTCTTGCTTGTGTTTGTATGTTCGTTATTCCTTTGTTCCAGTGTCTACTGTATGTCTTCTGTTCACGTCCTCTGACTGGGAATAATTTGTTTCTATAAGTGTGTTTCAATAAGAGTGTTCGACTTGAAACAGCGCTGCGCAGGCCGATCGTTGTATGACATCAAAGTACCATGATGAGAGATGAGCCTCTGATTGGTTTATTGCATGTTACGCCCAAAAAACACTATGCGCCTGGGCGCGCCAACTGTTTTCCTGTCGTTAAACTAGCAAAAGTTGATTCGGACATGCCTTGAGTGCACTTGCGCCGTGCGCTTTAGACCATGCGCTTAGATCGTTAAAATAGGGCCAGACAGCTCCTACACCGATCGGCCTGCACAGCGCTGCTTCAAGGCGAACACACTTATCACGTGGTACAAGTAGGAGCTCTGAAGGTGCGTTCACACCATATCGCAATTACCGTGATTACGAGATACCAACTTGTAAAAAGCGTTCACGTCCTTGTAGAACTCGTAATGAACTGTGTTATTGTGACCTTAGATTCTTTTGGCACTATGTTTAGGCATTGATACCCTTAGTCCGAGTCCAAGAGTGTGAACAGCTACAAGTAGAACATCATGTGTTATCATCTCGAAATGACAGCAACATCAAAAAAGTCCCATTTTTCAAGCTGGAATTACGAGCTCTGTGAGGACATGAACACTTTTTACATGTTGAAATATAATTTCAAAATTAAAGTAATTTCAACATGGCGTGAATGCATCTTTAGCTTCGCTTCTCCTCATTTTGCCTACCTGCCATGACGCTGTCTACCAGATTTCCCATAATCCAACAAATTGCCATGGTGTTGAATTCCTTTTAAAATGCACACACTTACTTAAGTCATTATTGTTTATTTTTGTCTCCAGGTGTGGTTGGATCAAACTTGGTGTCAGTGATAGAGGGAGATTCTGTCACTCTAAACAGTGATGTTACCAAGCAAGGACGTGACAAGATGCTGTGGTATTTTAACGACACTCTCATTGCCCTGATCAATGGAGATCCTACTAAGAGTTGTCTGTACGATGGTGAAGGCGGGGTATTCAGAGGCATACTGGAAGTGGACTTTGAGACCGGATCTCTGACCATCACAAACATCAGACCTGAACACACTGGACGCTTTGAAGCAAATTTCATCAAAAGCAAGAGCTCAGGAACCAGCCAAAGCTTGAACCGAAACGGCAAGTGTGACAGCACAAAAGTCATCAAAAAAATGATCAACATTGGCGACACCGTAAAGACATTCAGTGTGTCCATCAGTGGTGAGTCATATAGTGTTGATTCAGTCATTCAATCATATGCCCTGCTGCATTTTACAAACAGTTACTACTGAACTCAGTAATTGATTGAATGTGGACTATCTGAACACAATCAAACCGGTTCAATCTCTTTTCTTGAATATATAAAAACAACTTCAAAATACATTTAGAGTCTTTTTCAGTAGACAACTTTTGTGAATAATTCAAAATTTGAATGATATTTAAACTATTATAATTGCTCCTTTAAGACCCTTTATCAAATATATTATTATAATTGATCACTTTGACTGTTAATATGTTGTTGTTGTTGTTGTTTTTCCACAATGCAACCAATATTAGTAACAAAACACTGCACGGTTTTAAAAGATTTTCCCACAGCTATAAATAAATAGAAATGTTTTTAGAAAAATGTATGAATTAAAAAACAATGCTAAATGCAAATAATATTTTTTCATTATTATTTCCTTGTGATTTCCTGCCTCTCTGTCTGGTCCTGACAAACCCAATGAAGAATTGGACAATGTGGAGAAGAAACAAGAGTGTGAAAGGAGTATGTTTTCTCCTCGCTTTCTTTTTTTATTTATTTACAATAGATTACACCACATATATTAGTTTATTTATAAAGACACATTGTTCTAAAAGGTGACAGCTTCCATATATTCCCCTTCTGCCAGTCATGTTCAGGTGTGCCAGTTTTGATTTTAGTGTTAGTATTATTACTATATTGTTATTTTTTTTCTATAGCATTGTTTTATTTATTTGTAATTGAGACTATATGTAAAATGAATCAATCAAATGAATTAGCAATATACCCAAATTTCATATAATAATCCTTATATTTTAACAGAGGAATTAATCTTTCACATCTCTAACATGGATCTCTAAAAGAGTGGATAAAGAGAATATATCAAATGAGAAACAGTCGGATGCACTCACACTAATGACTGTCTGTCTTCATCTGTTCTAGATTCAGTTCTGTCTTTAAGTCTTGTAGCGGGAATATGTACTGGTGTTGGTGTTGTTCTGCTGCTGGTTGCAGCTGTTCTTGGTGTGATTTACTATCGTTACAGGAACTCTAAAATGGGCAAGTATCACCTACAGCTACTATAGTGAGAGGAAAACAATCTTTTTAAAGCAAAATTTGTGTTTAATTGTCTGTGTGATTTTTTTTTAACAGAAGACATTGAGAAAAACAAGTTTGAGCAGCTG